GACAAAAACACAGAGTAAACCTTAATGCAAACTCTAGACTCTCCTTAATAAGAATGTATCAATATTGATTTGGCCATTGGAAGGGATGCACCACGCTCATGTAAGGTGTGATTACAAAAAAGGAAACTGGGCCAGGCCCGGTGGCTCATGCCTATAATCCCAACAGTTTGGGAGGGCGGATTACAAGGTCAGGAGTTCAAGACCAGCCTGTCATGGTGAACCCCATCTCTACTAAAAGTACAAAAATCTGCTAGGTGTGGTGACAGGCACCTGTAATCCCAGCTACTCAGAAGGCTAAGGTAGGAGAATTGCTTGAACCCGGGAGACAGAGGTTGCAGTGAGCCAAGATCACGCCACTGTACTGCAGCCTGGGTGACAGAGTGAGACTCCATTTCAAAAAAGAAAAAAACTTAAAAAAGGAAATGGAGGGGGAAAGGTACATGAAAACTTCCTGTAGTACTACCTCAACTTTTATGTTAATTCAAAATGGTTTCACATAATGTCTATTAATTTAAAAACATGGCAACACTCTCTCAGCAAAAGCTCCATTTTAGTTAATGTTTAACAATCAGCCAAATGTCTAAATATTGCATTGAGGTGTTCTTTACTATTAAAAATGAATCAAACTTGAAGTGAAAATACATCTTTATTTCTTTAGTTGTAGGACTAGTGATTGAGCCAATAAATTTATTTTTGCATATGTGAAAAAAAGCAGGTGGGGAATGTTTTCTTTACTTGTTAGTACTTAATCATAAGACAAAATATGTTGTGTAGCCAAAATGTTGTCTAATGTATTTTACATTTTGTCTAGGGCTAATCCTGGTATAAACTTAAATATTCATCAGTATAATTAGCAGACTAATTTCCATTCACATTCAACAAATATTTATTGAACAACTGGATGTGAGAAGCATGCTTTTAAAATTTATTTTTTGGCTGGGCATGGTGGCTCATGCCTGTAATCCCAGCACTTTGGGAGGCCGAGGCGTGAAGATCACCTGAAGTTGGGAGTTTGAGACCAGCCTGATCAACATGGAGAAACCCTGTCTCAACTAAAAATACAAAATTAGCCGGGCGTGGTGGCGCATGCCTGTAATCCCAGCTAGTTGTTGGCTGAGGCAGGAGAATCACTTAAACCTGGGAGGTGGAGGTTGCTAGGAGCCAAGATCACGCCATTGCACTCCAGCCTGGGCAACAAGAGTGAAACATTGCCTCAAATAAATAAACAACTTAATTAATTAAATTTACTTTTTAAGCTAAAAACAAATTGTATATATTTTTCATTTATGTTTTGAAATATGTATATACTGTGGGATGGCTAAATAAGGCTAATTAATGTATGTATTGCATGACACACATCGTTCTTTTTGTGATGTGAACATTTAAAATGTACTATTAGCATTTTTAAAGAACACAATGCATTGCTATTAAGTATAGTCACCATATTGTACAACACACCAATAAACATGTTCCTGTCTAACTGAAATATTATACCCTTTGGCCAACATCTCCCCAGCACGTGGTAACCACCATTCTACTCTACTTCTGTGACTTCAGTTAGGTTCTGCATAGAAGTAAGATCACATGGTATTTTTCTTACTGTGCCTGGCTTATCGTACTTGACATACTGTCTGCTTGGTTCATCCACGTTGTCACAAATGACATTTCTTTCCTTTTAAAGGCTGAGCAGTATTTAATTGTGCATATATACCACATTTTAAAAATTCATTTGTCCACTGATGGACACTTTGGTTGATGCTACGTCTTACTATGGAACTATTGTGAGCAGTGCTGCAATGTCTTCTACATAGTGATTTCATTTGCTTTGGGCATATACCTCATATATACCTAGTAGTAGAATTGCTTGATCAAGTGGTAGCTCTACTTTTAACATTCTGATGAATGTTCATATTGTTTTCCATAATGGCTATATTAATTTTCATTCCTACCAACAGTGAGCAGTGCTTTCCTTTTCTCCACATCCTCGCCAACTGTTGCTAAAAATCTTTCACCTTTCTGAAAATATCCATGAGCAGCACTGTTTCATGTTCTGAGGATACAGCAATGAAGAGGAGTAAACACAAATTTTCCTCACTACACTTAAGTTCCAGTGGGGTAGACAGCAATTATGTAAATATAGTATGCTTGTGATAAGAGGTAAAAAGAAAGTATATACCTACTAGGATAAATTGCTGGAAAACAGGAGGGAAAAGGTAGAGTGGGGGAAGCAGATATTGGTAACATTTGTAGAGTGTACAGAGCAGGTCTTACTGAGCAGGTGATATCTGAGTAAGCCCTGAAGAAAGATGGGACAAAGCAGTGTGACAGCTGGGGAAGAGCCCTCCAGCAGAGGCCAGCACATACAAAAGCCCTCAGGTAGGAGCATGGCTGGTGCATCCGAGAGAGATTGAAGGGACAGGATGGCTATAGTGGGGTCAGGTGCAGAGCCAAATAAATAAATAAATAAATAAATAAATAAATAAATAAATAAATAAATAAATAGATAGGGTTGCACCAGGCCAGATTATGTTGAATCTTATAAAGCACGAAAAGAACATAGACTTTTACCTGGAGTGCTTTGGAGTTTGAAGAATTTTGAACAGAGCCCTTAAATGACTACAAGAACTTTGGTAGGTCACTGATATAAGCATCGGCTTCTCTGCTTCAAAAATGCAAAAGTTATGCCAGGTAAATATCTAAGTTATCATCCATCTGAAATAAAAACAGATTACTAGAGATCTGGAGTATGCTAGGTTCCAATAGGCTGATAGCTCATAAAAACATTAGCACCCCTCTCTGTTGCTGCCAAAGTCAATGGTAGTGACCCAGAACAGAACCAGCAGGAAACATGGGTGCACCAGGGGACTCACACAGCTGGCATGACAGAGGCTGGACACTTTAATGCATAAAACATTTGAAACTTGGGTTTTTGAAAGATGGGCAGTGAATGTAGAGAACTGGTGATACCTCTGTTGGGCTCCCAGGAACATATGTGACATCCTAAACGAGAGGGACACATTCCCTTCCCTGACACTTAACAGCCAGCTCAGGAAAGGAGGGCATGCTGTTTGCAGGAAACAAGAGGGCAGCAAAAGGAGGAGATCAATATCTTTTTTGTTTTAAATAAGTATTTTCCTTTCTAATCATTTTATATCATGCATGGAGGGTTCACTTTAATTTTCAAGTCCGTTTACTTCATTTCTGTGAGCCATTTGAGCTTTGAATAGTGTCCATCCAGCATGCTTTCTAAATATGGAAGTATGTGTGTTTTTTCATTCTCCTTTATTTTCTCTCCTTTTTTGTCCTTCCAATTACAAAATCCCAATTTTACTAAAATATGAGGCAAAGGCTCCTGGTTTTTTTCTTTCTCTTTGTATATCTGCTTCTCAGTGAATAAACAATAGCTCCAAGCAGTGTCCTAGCTTCCCACAAAAGAATCAAACCTGGACCGCATACTGCTGAACTCAGGCCTGTGAAAGAAAAATAAATCCTGGGGCCCCCAAATCACTAAGCTAAAGAGAAAAGTCAAGCTGGGAACTGTTTAGGGCCATGTGCCTCCCATTCTATTCAAAGTCACCCCTCTGCTCACTGAGATAAAGGCATATCTGATTGCCTCCTTTGGAAAGGCTAATCAGAAACTCAAAAGAATGCAACCATTTGTCACTTACCTATCTATGACCTAGAAGCCCACTCCTTGCTTCCAGAGTTCTCCTCCTTCCTTTGCTTTCAGTTGTCTGGCTTTTCCCAGACCTGAACCAATGTTAATCTTACATATGTTTATTGAAGTCTCATATCTCCCTAAAAGGTGTAATACCAAACTGTGCTCTGACCACACTGGGCACATGTCGTCAGGACCTCATGAGGCTGTGTCACAGGCGCGTGTCCTCAACCTTGCCAAAATAAATTTTCTAAATTAACTAAGACCTGTCTCAGATGTTCAGGGTTCACAGGCCTAAGTTCATAAACTTTTCATTATACTAAGCATGCCTTATATTTCTTAGTGTTTTTCCTCCAATAATAGCTATATTACTTGTCTATCAGGAGCCATCTTTTCATTGTGAATAAAAGATTTAGAAAGGCTTTCCTATAACCATAGTTTAACACCAGGGACAATTATATTCAAATAGTGTGGCAGACGTTCTAGAAAACATTCAAGAAGCAAAAACCATTGTGACTCTGGATTCTGGACACCTCGCTGTGAAGGAAAGATAACAGAGCGCAGACCCGTGGCTTCGTCATGTTTTATATCCCTGATGTCTGCACAGTGCAGAGTACGTAACAAACACTCAATAAATCAACGCTTGTTCCACAAAAAAGTGAAGAATGAACAAACACCAGTGACACTGGGACTGAGTAATTCTGACCTTTCCTATGGGCTTTTTCACGCATGTTTGCCTGTTAAAGCTCAGATTTGCTCCATAAGCCAATGTGCATATCAGGGGATCCTGACTGAAGACAGAAAGAATGGCATCTGCATGGTTCAAGGTCCCCAGAGCCAAAAACACAGATTAAATCCTAGCCAGGCTGCCTACAAGGGCCTTGTGCAAACACAGAAGTGGATGGGAGACAAGTTGCTTTCTAGCTTATTTCCTTGACAATTTCTTTCTTTCTTTTCTTTTCTTTTTTTCTTTTTTGAGACAGAGTTTTGCTGTTGTTACCCAGACTGGAGTGCAATGGCGTGATCTCGGCTCACCACAACCTCCACCTCCTGGGTTCAAGCAATTCTCCTGCCTCAGCCTCCCGAGTAGCTGGGACTACAGACACGCACCACCATGCCCAGCTAATTTTTGTATTTTTAGTAGAGACGGGGTTTCACCTTTTTGACCAGGATGGTCTCGATCTCTTGACCTTGTGATCCACCCACCTTGGCCTCCCAAAGTGCTGGGATTATAGGCGTGAGCCACTGTGCCCAGCCTTCCTTAACAATTTCTTCATCATCTTTAGCAACTGAGCCCAGGCAACAGGAATCCCAGACATGGGTTCCCAGGAGCCTGTCTTACCTCAGCCGCAGGGACTCCCTCTGGTGGGCGACAATGCAGCACGATCATGCCTTCAATGGGAACCTCCCTTCCTTGTGGGTCTTGTTCAAAGTTTTTCCGTAAATCTGCAAAAAAGCATGAGATAGGTGATACTTTGCCTCAAGTCCAGTGTTACTCAAATTTGGTCCAAGTACAAAAAAAAGCTTAATGTCACAATGAAGACACACACATATAAGTCATTTGTTTCAGAAATTCCAGAATAAAAGAATTATTTTTCCAAATATTTATAAACACATGTGAAATATAACGTGGCAAAAACAGTCTCTGATGTTCTGTATTAATATGAAGCATGGAAGAAATTAACTAGGAGAGTAAAAAACAAAACAGAACAACCTCATTGTTTCATGAGTCTTTGCCAGCATTATCTACTGAGCATCTGATGAAACACTTGGCCTAATAAATTGCCATCCACAGCTATTATGCAGTTGAGATGCACATGTTTTTTTTCTATTAACTAAAGGATGCATTATTAATCTGTAACCTCTGCCATTCCCTTAGCCCTCTGGGGGGCTTTAGAAGATGCTAATAGAGTAAGATTACCTATTAGTCTTTTTATTTGTAACCAGGGAGAAGGGGCAACATTCAACCACAACGAAATCTATAACCTATCCAACCAAACATATAATTATAAAACACAACACCCTCCAGTCAAACAGCAATGCTAGGTATTTGGTTAATGCCCTTCATGGAAGACTCCAGGCACTTTGCAAACAAGCTGTACTATTAACCTTTTACACTTGGAAGAATGACACTTGCAGAGGTTAATTGGCTTGCCAGTGGTCACAGAGAGCATCGGTGCCAGTGATGGGGAACAGTACACTCAGCTCCCTGACACCCGGGCGGAGTGCTAACCAGCAAAGCCTTCTCAGGGAAAAGGACATAGATGGACAGTGCAGAAAGAGTCAATTGCATTGCTTTCCACTTGAGCACACGCTGCATCAAAAAAAAAAAAAAAAAAAAAGGTGGGGAGTTGGCCTTTACTTCTCTGGAGGTGTCATGACAACTCTTTGATAATCTTGCAGCATGAGGGTAATTCTTGCTGTCACTTGAAAGCACAGGATAGTAGGGCAAAGACAGGTTGTTTACAAGTCTTCCTCAATGCAGAAGATTTTGCTCTCCCTCCCTGACAATACATTTTTCTTCAAATTGAGTATCTCAAATTATGGGCTGTGAATTTATTGATTTAATTTTCTTCAGTGCTTACAATAACATGAAATATATTCCCTGTAAGAGGAGAGCTCCAGAATCAGTTACATCTTTATAAATTGTATAAATACATTAAACTTGCTTTTAGCAAGTCAAAAACACTCAATGAATAACAAGCACAGCAAGCCATGTATTCACTTTCCTCTGAATTTTACTCTTAATGTTTTCCCTCCCAGAGGCAACCAGTGTCTTTTGTTAGTAGCAGTGCTACATATTTGGAGATCTTCATGATTATACATAAGGAAAAATATCTTAAAACGACTCAAACTGCAGGTGGGTGACAAGATCCATTCTCTCATTTTTCCTCTGTCCCCTGAGTTTTAAAGCCAGCTTCCCTCTATCTGGGAACCGTAAATTGCCACAGCCTGTTTGATTCAGGACTTCTGACTCCAAGTATGATGAAGGTCACATAGCTGACAACAAAATTGGGAAGGTACTGTGAATAAACCCAGAATGACAAATCTCACGTTTCCCACACAATTCTCCTCTGCTGTCTAGCAAGGGATCTTTGGGTCAAAAATCCCTCCTCTATATGACTTGCTTATTTATCAGAACTATATCACAATTAGTCTATCATGGAGTGAGAGTGACTTTAACATATGAGGTGTCAGTTTGCTGATGAAGGAGCTGTTTTGTTTCATTTTGGAGATAAGGCCTCACTCCATCACCCAGGTTGGAGTGCAGTGGTATTTAGCTCACTTCAACCTTGACCTTCCCAAGCTCAAGCTATCCTCCCACTTCAGATTCCCAAGTAGCTAGGACTACAGGTGTGTGACATCACACCCAGCTAATTTTTAAACAAATTTTCTGTAGAAATGGGCAGGGTCTCGCTTCTTGCTTTGTTGCCCAGTCTGGTCTCCAACCCCTGGGCTCAAGTGATCCTCCTACCTTGGCCTCCCAAGTGCTTGGATTACAGGCATGACCCACTGTGCCTGGCTAGCAGTTGTGTTTTTGTGTAGCTTATTTTGTTTGGTTTGTATATAATTCTTTTTCCTTTGCCTTAATTGCTTTGTTTTCTAAAGGAAGTTTTGCTCAGTGCTGCTAAATGATGATCCCAATTTCGACATCACTAACGAATCTGTATTCAGCCCCATAAAGTATGGAAAACCAACAGTACAACTTTCTATTTACATTCTACTTTTGTGTCCTTTATTTGATCAACAGAAATGGAAAAGGTAAAACATACTTAGTTTATGGCTATCTCCACACTACTACATTAACTACATTATCAGTTGAAAAGACAACTGGAGGAAGTCATTTTTTTCTCCCCATTCCAGCCTCTCAGGTAAGTAAATACATACATACATATATACACACATGTATATATATATATAATTTACACATTTGTGTGTGTGTGTGTGTGTGAGAGAGAGAGAGAGAGAGAGAGAGAGAGAGAGAGAGAACTGTATTGATAGTGGGAACTAGGAAAGGGTATTGTCCATAAACTAGAAACTTTGCAGAACTTCTAATAGATCTCACAAAGCCAAGATGGGGTAGAAGAAAAGACCAATTCAACCTGCTGCTCTTTCCAAATGACATTTGAAATCATTGGAAGAGTCCTAGCGAAACACATATTTCCCTCCCAAATGTATCCATAAAAAGAACAACAATGAAAGGCAATGGTTGAGGGACAGGAAATAACAGGGCACTATATATATATCTGGATCCAACAGTGGTAACAGGCCGCTGTTAGAGACCTGTAATGATCAGATATCATTACACCAAGTGAGAAATCATGGAGCCCTAGTTCTGGCTTATACCTGATACTGGTACCAAGACGCTGACTACTAAGGAGGGGAAACTTTTGAATCCTAAGGAGGGTAAACTCAGCAAAAAATTTCAGTTAGCTACCAAATATAGTAGAAATGACGGAAATAAACTTTTTAGACACAGTGGTATAGCTATGATACTCACCATAGGGCACCCAGTCTAATTTCTTTCTGACTAGGCAATCTGAACACTTTAATCACCTATATGAGCTCCAAGGCTTGAAAGAAACAGACAGGAACTGATCTGATTTCTAATAGTAGGGAAAACATCCTTAGCCATATAACAAGAAATACACTACAAGATAAGGAAGCAAACCGCAGAACTGAAAATAGATTTCTTCCTCTAAAAAGACATGAAGCGAGAGGCATATTTTTAGATGATTTCTAATTTTAGTTCTTTAAAGTCAAAGGGAAATAGCAACTGAGAATCTAGAGTAGAGAGTTATAAATAGGATAACATCTGAGATCAAGAAACTGCCACTATGAAGAAAGAAAAAACATAACTGCTGATTTAGAAATATATAAATAAATACGGAGACAGTAAATAGCATATTGAATATTGCAGAAAACTGAAGCAGAAGACAGGCATATCAGTCAGGATGTATCAGAAAAATTGCAAGTACATCAGTTAGTTTAACAGAAAATATTAATATAATAAAATGGAAGGACTAAGGAGTCAAAGGGGGAACTGTAGAAACATTACAGGGAGTCTGGGCCCAGCCCAGCAAAGGAGCCCCATTCCCTTCTGCTTAATTTATAGATAGACCAGTTGGTACAGACATGAAAGACTGTTATGCTGGTAACAGTGTAAGAAATGTCCTTAGTAGGGTGCTTTTGGTGACTTGTCTGTTTGGTGCATCTGTTGCTTATGGTAACTTGCTTATGTGTTATTTTGCTTATGGTGACTTGTTATCTATGGTTCATCTGTTTTCCTTGTTCAATCATCAGGTCTACAAAAGTCTCTCTGTCCAAGACTTTCACCCCTCCATTCCCGGTGCCTATTATAATATCTGATACAGGGCAGGTTCTTAATAAATACCTGGTGAGTAAATGAAGTAAGGGGAAAGTGATAAAGTGACAATGAATTTGTCAGAGGTAGAATGAAATAAATGACAAAGTGGAGAAAGAGGGATACAATGTTACATATAATAGGAATTTTAAAAGGACACAATAAACTGAAAGAAACAAAAACCAATTTAATAATAATAGTTCTCTAAGCTAAATAAGGACTTGAGTTTGCAAAATGACTCACTGGAAATAAGCCAAACTAGTTTTAAAAAGAAACAACCCTAGATAGATCTTAGATAAAACTGTTAACAAAACTAATAAAATGCAAAAATAAATTTGAGTATTTTTGCAGAAAACAAAAAGAATAATGGAACAAGAATATGGAATTTATTTCCTATATTTTTTGGTATATCAGAGTATAATTAATCATTTTTTTTTATTTTTGGATTTTTTTTTTGTAAAAACCATAGGCGCTAATTTATTTCCAAACAAGTTAGTATTCATGAGTAACCTAACAATAACGTAGTCTCAGACATGATAAGGCCATGACATTGTAAGCAGCCACATACTCTTCCTGAAAACATTAACTTGTAAAATAAACTAACCAATGAAAAACAACTCAATGTAATAATTTCAGTATTTGGAATTTGTGGTTTTTAAAAACCTGGCACTGGGCAATAAAAACACTTAAAATTTTAAACCTAAATACTTTTTATAATATAACTGAAAATATTCAGATAAATATCCAAAGGATCAGGGAAGAAAGATGCATGATGTACCATAAATATGCATGATAATGAATGGTCTGGACTGAAACCTGCTGCTCCTGTCTCAGGACCCCCACCAGGCAGGAGTGCCCACTGGCGAGGAAGGTGGAGGCTAGAGCCTGTGTTTTTGTTAGAATTTGGGACCACTACTTACGAGCACCTTGATTCAGTATCTTTAATCTCTCTGCTTCAGCTTCTTCATCAGTGGTATGAGGATAATAATTCACATACATTTTGTTAAGGACTAAATGCTAATATATGTGAAGTTCATTTAAGAGCACTGGTTTCTTAACAGAGCTTCATAGAGGTCACGTA